CTTCTATAATTAGCAAATATAAGTAGCTATTACTTTAAACGTTAAACGATATTCATTAAAACTTTAATTTTTTTTACCATGTCTTTGAAGATGAAAATATAGGCTTTTGGAAAAATGGTTGCTTTAATAATTATATTAGCAGTGAGTTAAAATGCGATGACCTTAATAAAGATTATATATTGCTTAAAAATGATGATTATAGTATTATAACTAATAATACAAGCAAAATTCTATCAACACCTATAATATCTACCAATAATGATAATTGTATTCATGAATTTTTATTTGATTACGAAGCATTACAAAATGTTAAATAAAAAATTAGTTTAGATAAATATAATAATGATGATATAATATAGGAAAATATAGATTTAGTTGAAAAAGATTCTGTTTTAATAATAGCTAGCTTTAATACAGATAAAGGCTATCAAATAGATAATACTAATATAGAAAATAAAATCTTTATATCATGTGTTCTAGTAAATATATATAATAGGGAAGTAAAACATTATCCAAATTATAAAAAACCAGGACATGCTCTTCATCTCCTTCATCAATTAATAGGAACATGAAAAATCAATAAAGCTGTAATTAACCAAACAAATCCTGAAAATATGCTACATACTTTAGGTGTTTATATGGTATATTTATCTTTTGATCAAAATAGATTACATAAAAAAAATTTAAAACAATTACGATCAGTAAATAAAAGTTATATTTGTCAAAATTGTTATCTTTTTGTTATAAAGACAAATATTTTTTTAGTCGTAGCAAGAATTATGCTAAACATTTAGTAAATATTAATAATCAAAATATGCAAATATCTTGTGTAAAACTTTAAATCTGTTTACATTTCAAAAATGATAGAATTGTTAAAGAAATTATCACTAATATTAATGAAAAAGCATATTATGTATGTTCAGAACATATTTTTGAATGAAAAGAAAGTGAATTAAAATCTTTTTCATATCACGAATATCATATTAATAATATTACAAATGCATTAACATTATTAGGATGATAGATCTTAGATGTAGCTAATTTAA